CTGCCCTCCCCTGCAGGACAGGTCCCCGAACTCCCCTCCCCTGCAGAACTGGTCCCCCACTCAACTGCCCTCCCCTGCAGGCCTGGTCCCCCACTCAACTGCCCTCCCTCCAGGACTGGTTACCCCCCACCCACTGACCTCACCTGCAGGCCTGGTCCCCTCAACTTCCCTCCCCGGCAGGTCTGGTCCACCCCAAGTTCCCTCCCCTGCAGGCCTGGTCCCCCCAACTGCCCTCCTTTGCGTGCCTGGTCCCCCCCAACTGCCCTCCTTTGCGTGCCTGGTCCCCCCCAACTGCCCTCCTTTGCGTGCCTGGTCCCCCCCAACTGCCCTCCTTTGCGTGCCTGGTCCCCCCCAACTGCCCTCCTTTGCGTGCCTGGTCCCCCCCAACTGCCCTCCTTTGCGTGCCTGGTCCCCCCCAACTGCCCTCCTTTGCGTGCCTGGTCCCCCCCAACTGCCCTCCTTTGCGTGCCTGGTCCCCCCCAACTGCCCTCCTTTGCGTGCCTGGTCCCCCCCAACTGCCCTCCTTTGCGTGCCTGGTCCCCCCCAACTGCCCTCCTTTGCGTGCCTGGTCCCCCCCAACTGCCCTCCTTTGCGTGCCTGGTCCCCCCCAACTGCCCTCCTTTGCGTGCCTGGTCCCCCCCAACTGCCCTCCTTTGCGTGCCTGGTCCCCCCCAACTGCCCTCCTTTGCGTGCCTGGTCCCCCCCAACTGCCCTCCTTTGCGTGCCTGGTCCCCCCCAACTGCCCTCCTTTGCGTGCCTGGTCCCCCCCAACTGCCCTCCTTTGCGTGCCTGGTCCCCCCCAACTGCCCTCCTTTGCGTGCCTGGTCCCCCCCAACTGCCCTCCTTTGCGTGCCTGGTCCCCCCCAACTGCCCTCCTTTGCGTGCCTGGTCCCCCCCAACTGCCCTCCTTTGCGTGCCTGGTCCCCCCCAACTGCCCTCCTTTGCGTGCCTGGTCCCCCCCAACTGCCCTCCTTTGCGTGCCTGGTCCCCCCCAACTGCCCTCCTTTGCGTGCCTGGTCCCCCCCAACTGCCCTCCTTTGCGTGCCTGGTCCCCCCCAACTGCCCTCCTTTGCGTGCCTGGTCCCCCCCAACTGCCCTCCTTTGCGTGCCTGGTCCCCCCCAACTGCCCTCCTTTGCGTGCCTGGTCCCCCCCAACTGCCCTCCTTTGCGTGCCTGGTCCCCCCCAACTGCCCTCCTTTGCGTGCCTGGTCCCCCCCAACTGCCCTCCTTTGCGTGCCTGGTCCCCCCCAACTGCCCTCCTTTGCGTGCCTGGTCCCCCCCAACTGCCCTCCTTTGCGTGCCTGGTCCCCCCCAACTGCCCTCCTTTGCGTGCCTGGTCCCCCCCAACTGCCCTCCTTTGCGTGCCTGGTCCCCCCCAACTGCCCTCCTTTGCGTGCCTGGTCCCCCCCAACTGCCCTCCTTTGCGTGCCTGGTCCCCCCCAACTGCCCTCCTTTGCGTGCCTGGTCCCCCCCAACTGCCCTCCTTTGCGTGCCTGGTCCCCCCCAACTGCCCTCCTTTGCGTGCCTGGTCCCCCCCAACTGCCCTCCTTTGCGTGCCTGGTCCCCCCCAACTGCCCTCCTTTGCGTGCCTGGTCCCCCCCAACTGCCCTCCTTTGCGTGCCTGGTCCCCCCCAACTGCCCTCCTTTGCGTGCCTGGTCCCCCCCAACTGCCCTCCTTTGCGTGCCTGGTCCCCCCCAACTGCCCTCCTTTGCGTGCCTGGTCCCCCCCAACTGCCCTCCTTTGCGTGCCTGGTCCCCCCCAACTGCCCTCCTTTGCGTGCCTGGTCCCCCCCAACTGCCCTCCTTTGCGTGCCTGGTCCCCCCCAACTGCCCTCCTTTGCGTGCCTGGTCCCCCCCAACTGCCCTCCTTTGCGTGCCTGGTCCCCCCCAACTGCCCTCCTTTGCGTGCCTGGTCCCCCCCAACTGCCCTCCTTTGCGTGCCTGGTCCCCCCCAACTGCCCTCCTTTGCGTGCCTGGTCCCCCCCAACTGCCCTCCTTTGCGTGCCTGGTCCCCCCCAACTGCCCTCCTTTGCGTGCCTGGTCCCCCCCAACTGCCCTCCTTTGCGTGCCTGGTCCCCCCCAACTGCCCTCCTTTGCGTGCCTGGTCCCCCCCAACTGCCCTCCTTTGCGTGCCTGGTCCCCCCCAACTGCCCTCCTTTGCGTGCCTGGTCCCCCCCAACTGCCCTCCTTTGCGTGCCTGGTCCCCCCCAACTGCCCTCCTTTGCGTGCCTGGTCCCCCCCAACTGCCCTCCTTTGCGTGCCTGGTCCCCCCCAACTGCCCTCCTTTGCGTGCCTGGTCCCCCCCAACTGCCCTCCTTTGCGTGCCTGGTCCCCCCCAACTGCCCTCCTTTGCGTGCCTGGTCCCCCCCAACTGCCCTCCTTTGCGTGCCTGGTCCCCCCCAACTGCCCTCCTTTGCGTGCCTGGTCCCCCCCAACTGCCCTCCTTTGCGTGCCTGGTCCCCCCCAACTGCCCTCCTTTGCGTGCCTGGTCCCCCCCAACTGCCCTCCTTTGCGTGCCTGGTCCCCCCCAACTGCCCTCCTTTGCGTGCCTGGTCCCCCCCAACTGCCCTCCCCTGCAGGCCTGGTCCCCCCTACTGCCCTCCCCTGCAGGCCTGATTCCCCCAACTTCCCTCCCCTGGTGGCCTCTCGCCCCTAGTTGCCCTCCCCTGCCGGCCCTGTTGTGGCAGCCATCTTGTATCCACATGAGGGCCGCCATCTTTGACCACGTCATAGCGGCCATCTTGTGTGTTGGAGTGATGGTCAATTTGCACATTACTGCTTTATTAGATAGGATGTCACCCCAATAAATTCTATTAAAGTATAGCCCAGCAGGCATGGCTCAGTGGTTGAGCATCAACCTGTGAACCTTAGGTCAGGAGTTCAATTCTGGTCAGGGCACATGCCTTGGTTGCAGGCTTGATTCCCCCAGTGTGGGGGCCTACAGCAGGCAGCTGATCAATGTTTCTCTCTCATTATTGATGTTTCTATCTCTCTCTCCCTCTCCCTTCCTCTCTGAAATCAATATAAATATATTTTTTAAAAATAAATGATAAATAAAACATAAAAAATGTAAAATGTGGCTGGCAATTAACATCACCATCTTATCTTTTTCTTCTGTTTCTTTCCTTTATGATTGCTGTAATAATCTCTACTCATTTGCATTCTTAATACTAGAGGGGAGAGAAGCCAGCATTATATGATTATCTTTCCTCTTTAAGAACGGATAGGTCATAGGTACTTCTGGATGGTAACTAGTAGAATAATTAAAATCAGAACTATTTCAAGAAAAAGGAGGTGAGGCTTCCAATGGCAAATCTATATCATAAATTTGAAGTCACAGCTTATTATTCTAGTCTGATTGACTAAACTTTACTAAAGCTTGGCTTATAGCTTTTGAACCCATCATTTTAACACCTTTACTGAATATTTGCACCTTTCCCTTTCCTCAAAGCCAAGTGAGTTGACAGTGGAGATGTACCCTTGAGGGTCAGGCATGTTCAGTACATGTAGATATGGAGTGTCATTGTTGGTAGCAAGGACATCTATTAAAATTTAAACTATTCTTGCTAAAAAGAAAGTATTAGAGATAATATATCAAAAAGTGGTTACCTCAAGGCCATGGGATTATGAGGGGATTCCTTTTCTGTATTTTCCAAAATTCCACAAATAACAAATACTACTATTATAATCTTTACATAATATGAATATTATATAAATATAAATTATGCATTAAATAATTTACTATTATAACATTTCGAATCTTTAATAATATTAAAGAGATATTAATTTAAAAATAAATACAACAGTTGCCATTTTTTGTTACCAAGATAAAATTACATTTGTGTGCATGGGAAAAAATAGATGCAGGCATAATTTGACCTTTCTCATTGGTAATACCACAAATACATTACAGAAGATTAATATATAAAATGAATGAAGTTACCCCTTCCTCCCTCTTTTGACTCTTAGCAGTAACTAAATTATTAGTTTGTTGGCTTCAGATGCCAGTGGCCCTTCAGTGTGTTGCCTGGTTCCTTCTTTCTCCCTTCTCTCAGAAGTAGTAACCAATTAAATACTTCCATGCTTTAAGAGAGTTGTATGTTAAGGATTCCCTTCGAATACTGAAGAAACAAAATAAACATCCTCTAATTTTGATGCATTTAGAAAGTTGATTATGATTTAGCATGCTAAGGTTTCACCTAAAAACTACATTTGGAATCAATATCTTGAGAAAAACACACTTGGTGGCGTTATTTTCCGTTGTTGACATTCGGTTCTCATCATGAAATTGCTGTCAAAATGGATAGAATTCTGTACACTTTGCAGTCATGCCTAAAAGCAAAGCCCAAGACTGGAATAGCAGGAATTTACAGGTCAAGACAGAAGGGCATTTGGCAGAGTTAGTCATGAGGAAGTTTGAATGGTATACTTTACCAAAAGCAGCTCACATTGCATTAAGCCCTGATGTTTTAGTCACTTTAAAGAATGAATAAACAGTAGTCCAACCAAAAAGAACTGAAGAAAAATCAGAGAAATTGGAAGCACAGGTATTAGCCTATTTTAAAATTAGGCCTATTGATTTTAAATCACTTTTACTCTTTTTGAAGCAATCTGTTTTCATGTGTATGGTTGTCTTTTATAGAATTATTTTCTATAATTAATGACCAAATGTATCAATTTATTGGTTATATTTCATAGCATCAGAGAATTTTAAAGCTGGAAGGATCTGTAGAACTTAGCTAATATCACCCTTTCAGTTTACAAATGAGGGAACTGAGGCCCAGGCCACTTCGTGAGTTATAAGGAGAACCAGTCTTCAAGTATTTAAGTTCCTTCAGCCATGAGCCAGCATTCTTAGTTCTTTTCACTACAGTAGCTGCCAGTGTAAATAATATGCTTTGATTAAAATTATTTTCCAGGAATTGGAAGAGGTGATTGAAGAAATGGATGGCAGGAGAGAAAACTGGAAAGAGAATATGTTTTCTCCTACTTTTAGTGCTTATGATGTTCTAAAGGAGGTTTTACAGCCTGAATCTCTTCCTGAACAAATGACTTTTGGGAAGGCCAAAACAATGGGAGAAATTTACAACATGTCTAGTAGAAAGTTTCAAGAAGAGAATAAATTTCAGAGGAAAGAATTTATTCCCCAACCAAATGAAAAAGAACAAGAACCAAATTTGAGAGAGAGAAAGATGAATATTTCAGAGAATGAAGAGGACACAAACTCTGTCTTCGGTGAATCCTCTAATTTGGATGTTAGAGGAAATGTAAAATGTGGCTGGCAATTAGCATCACCATCTGACGAAAGCTTTACTAGCTCAGAAGAGTACTGCATCTGGGATAAAGAAGAATATCTATCTCAACGGCGACAAAACAACAAGCAGAAATATACTAAGTCTCAAGATGATAGCCTGAATGTTTTGAATGAACTGGAAGAGCTCGATATGAAATGCAGAAAAATAGAAGAGGAATTTGAAAATGCTGAAAAACAACTTGTGAAGGCCAAAAAGGAAGTCTTCCCCCAAACCCTAAATTTTCAAGAAACAGGGGCAGAAACTTTGAAAAAAGACTGGGAACTTCAAGCTTTAAGAAATGACCTATGTGAAAAAACAACAAATGTCAAAAACTTAACTGAAGAGCTCCAGCAAGCCAGAGAAGTCATCCACAAGTTGAGCCTAGAAAACCAAGACTTAAAAGAAACTGTAAGGAAGTTAAAACATCAAACTGAAGTTGGAAATGCACTCCTAAAGAAAGAAATAAAATTGCATTATGAATTAGAAGTGGAAAAGATCCATGGAGATCTTGATGCCATCAAGAATGAACTAAGAATTGAGAAGGCCTTGCAAGCGAGAAATAACAGAGTCCTGGAATTGCTTACAAAACACCTTTCTTCTGTACTATCAAGTACCCCTGACAGCTTTACAGGGGATTGTTGATAAAACTTAAAAAATTAAAAAGCCTTTAATTAGGCAAGCCATTGAACCAAATCCGTGTTTTTTGTGCTTTCTTTGTATATTTCTTAAAATGTGTTTAATGGGATGTAATTTTCATTTTTGGTGAATCCATACATCTGTAAAAAGTATATATATCAACTTCAAAGCATCTGCTTTCTCTTTCTAATGAAATTGCAGATGTCCAAATGGAAATGAAGTGTCAGAAATCTTTCTAATACTATTTCACTCAGACCTATAGTGATTCACCAGATCACATATGAACACAAATCAGTAGCCCTTTTGTGATGTTGTGAGCATTATGTCCTTGGCATGTGAATATCCTTTAATCTGTGTTCATTGATGCTAACAATAAAAATCATGTTTATGTATATAAGCATAACATGTGTCTGTGGCTCTTATAGCTGCCTGTTCAGACTCAATGGGATACAAAAATGTATCTGCTTTCTTTGAGATCTAACCTTAATTAGGCACATATAAACATCTCCAGAAAAAAATGCAGATTTTCCTCTCCCCTGCTGTTTTCCCCATGCTTTCTCCCTTGACCCAGCAAAGGTTCCCATAGACTAGAAGATGACTTTAAGACAGGACTGTGACCTTTGCTAGAGCCCTGATTTGTCAGCATTGGTTTTTGCATTTTCTTATGTTGACCACCAAGGGGCGTTGTTTGCACAGTTCCAACATTCTACCAGGGTGGGGGTGGGGGTTTATAAGCTTCCTGCCCAGTTTACATCACCAGCTGGGGTGAAAGTTGCTGGGTGTTAGCTATGTAAGCTGCTAGTGAACTGGTTTGATTTATACAGGAATCCAGCCCTCTAAGGGGCCTGAGCAATGACAATTTATTTTACACTTTTAGAGAATAAACATGTACTGCCTCAATCCTTTGGTGAAAACAATGGGTAGTATTTGTTTATATCAACCACCATTTTTTTGTAATTGGAGCTCTATTTGTATGTAATTTTTAAGTCCAACGAACCCAATGTAATTACAGACTATGAGTGTGGAATACAATTGTAAGGGTTTAGGTATCTTTCCATATGGGAAATCCCCAAACTGGGGATTTTAAAGTCCTAAAAGTCCTCATCTTTAAAATGAGGGAGTAGTACTGTCATCCAGATTCTTTTTGCTTCTAATGTTTTGTGATTTTATTCTCAAGTGTTACTGTACCTGTGAAGAAATAAAACTCCTATGGCATTGGATGCACTCAGTTCTAGTAGTTTGGGGGAACCTACATTTCTGACACCCCCCTTTCAAAGAAACATAGAAAGTCTGTTCTTCATAGTTTGAACATTTCCAAACACTGTGCCATTACTAAATCAGGAGAGGGAGTAAATGAGCTGCTTTCTTCTCCTTTATCTTGTTTCATTTTTACTTGTTAAGGTTGGGGAAGGCAATGAATGGAGACAAACTACGCTGACCTTAATGCTGAGCAGGGATTGCCTAGCATGGAAAGACTGGACTAAATTGGAAGATAATCATTTTTGGCACTTTCTGAGTTAGTCCTGATAACCCAGGTACTGGCAGCCCACTCAAAGGGAAAGATGACTTTCAGGTTTTCGGTGGCCACTGGCTTCTCACCAAGAGGCTAGGTACAAAAGCAAATAGGAACTCTTTTGCCCTATTCAACTGTCTTCCTCATCACCCCCTTAAAGTTGTCCCTTTGTCCTTGCCCCAGAAAGACTCCCAGTCTCTGACTGCTAGTGTGCAGAGCTGCTTACATGTTAAAATATTTCACAAATTGTATTAATTAAACTACTGGGCTCAGTCCTCTTTGTATATTTTAATTTTTAAAAAGGAACTTTAACTCCAGGAGAATTTCTATCAACCGACCACCATCTAAAGCAGGGGTGGGCAAACTTTTTGACTCGAGGTCCACAATGGGTTCTTAAACTGGACTCAGAAGAAGGAGCTGCGGCTGTGTTTCCCGACATTGCCATGTTAACACTGCTGCTGGTGAAGGAGCAGAGGGGAGAGCAAGAGAACCCTCCGCTCTTTCGGCTCCGCAGGCCAGATAGAACAGCTGAACGGGCAGGCCGTAGTTTGCCCACGGCTGAATTCTAAAGTCTTAAGTGACAGCTTGGTTTATCTTGCATGAGTGTGA